ATTTCCACCAGACACTGTTGGTCTCTCTGTAGCTCTCGCTTTTTCTGCATCTTAGGTTGTTTTTTCCAAATGGCCGGGTAAGGTTTAGTTACCCAAGTTTGTGATGGCACATGTGTCGGCTCTGTGTTAGCGCCGTTGTAGTGTCGCGCCGAAACCCATGTGGAGCACTATATATCCTGGGTTTCGCTATGGCTCTGGAGCAGCGTTGACACAGGCAACTCGGAAATAAAGTAATAGCATGCTGATCGGATGGGATTCATTTTCGTAGAACCAATTGTCTAAAGTTGAGCATTTTGTAATGAAAAACTTTCAGAATAAATTCGCAAACTTTAAACCGACACAAGTATATTCAGTGCCTTGGGGTGATCCAAACTCCACCGGTAAGGGCGCTACTCGTAAGTTTTTCTATTTCCGTTGTTTTTTTCTTTTTTATGGATCGGTCTTGAAATTTTGATTTTAGCAGCAGCCTCCCGACCGGCTGCTCCTCGACGACCGCAGGCGCAGAGTTTTGGTGCAAATGTCACGCCTATCAGTATGATCACCCCTTACATAAGCAAATGGCGCATTTGTGGTCTTTGCACGGCCAAAGATGAATTAAAGACGACTAAATCGCGAAGTGGAACTGGAGATATGAAGGTATGGATCTTGCTTGTTCTATAACTTTTTTTTTGTTATTTTTTTACTCTGGAAACGGAGTTGTAGCGGATGCTTTTTCGTCGTTCCATATATAATGTTTTTTGTCTTTAGGTATTCAGCTTTGAGATAACCGACAAGGATGGAGTTGCTATACGCATTACCGGATTCAACGATGCTGCTGAAAGAGCATATAGCATCATACAAACGGATTGCGTAAGTATTCGCGCTAAAAAATTTTTCCTCTTAGAAAATTAATGTTTAATCTTCTAGTCCTACTATATATCTGGATGTACCGTCAAGCAGGCGAACAAACGATTCAATACAACCGGACACGACTATGAGCTGTCTATCAATGCAAATACCGAAGTGAGTCTTGACTTATTTAAGTTTTTTTTC